AAGGCGGTGATACTGAAGTAGTTTAGAATAAAAATGGACAAAGCGTCAGGTAATGTCGAAAACTAACGTTTATCCAGTCAAATCACAGAATGAGCAGATAAGGTTGGACTGTTGTAAATGCAGCGGAGTGTCGATGCTGTAAGCATCTATTTTTAGGGACTGCTGAGAATGCTATTGTACTTTGAACTACGTTTCGTTTGAACTGATTGAAAATTGATTTTTGATACGGACGATATTCGTAATCTTGATTAAGCTGCGTTTTTCAGAGGTAATGAAAAACAACATAAATATCGGATTAATACAGAACGCAGTCTATTGGTCCATCGGTGATTAACTCTGTATAAACGAATATTTTGTCATGTTTATAATTGAACCGTTTTCTGAGCTATTTTTCATCGAAGTTAATGAACCATTAGCATTACTAATCCAATGGTTTTTCTTCAGAATTCAGAAGAAAAAGCTTGTTAGTAAATTTGCATAAAGATTTGTGTAAGCTTGAATAGTCTTTTAAATACACGGCTTTATTTAAATCTGATATCTTGATACTCATGTTTGTAAGAGAAGGTAGACCGTTAAATCATAAGAATAGAATATGTGCATTGTAAGTCGATGTTATAAGAGTTGTACTCAACAAACTTCAGATATTTTTTAGAGCTTTGCTAATTACCATAATTTTCCTTGCGTGTCTTTTTGCCAACGCAATTATGCTGCTACATTTTTAGCGCGGACGATCCTTTTCTGATGAAATGCTTTATGCTAGTGAGGTAAACTTTTAACTTTTAACAGTTTTGGACTTTGTTTTTGGAAAGGGAATATCGCATGAACAACCAGTTTCTCTACTTTAACATCAACGGTAATTTGCATTGCCGTGGACGTGTTTTAGGATCAAGACGTCGTTCCTCCAGTTGCCGGTTTTCGGGGACGATATCCTCATCGTGGGCGAGGATATTTCCGTTACGGATATCGTGGCGGAAGAGGCGGGCCATTCATGCCTGAAGGCGATCGTCCCGCGTTTAGAGGACGTGGTCGTGGAGGCCGTAGAGGCTACCGTGGCGGCCGAGGGCGTGGTCGCGAAGGAGGCGATGCTGGCGAGGGCCACGAACATGTAGAAAATCAAGAGAAGCCGCAGCCAGAGGTTAATCAAGAACACGCGGAGCAGCAGCAGCATGCTCCAGATGTTAAAACCAGCGCTTTGCCAGATGCTACTGGAAAAACATCTGAAACGACTACTCCGACGGTATGTTTGTTGTGTTTGCGCTTAATGTTAAGCGATATTTTTGCAGGAAAAATGCACTCAAATATCGCCTCAAAGTTCGTTTTAGTCAATGCAACTCATAGTATATTATATGAGTTATGGAGTTAGTTAATCATTTTACGTTTTGGATGAGTCTTGTTACTACGATTTATTATTCAAAGTGCTTGCTTATGAAAGTTCACCCGATCTAAGATTTAATATGCAACGTCATTAACGTGCCAATCCGGATACGAAAATATGTTCCTGCGTCTGTGAATGTCATATGATGCACAATCCTCCAAACCCACATTTCATGGCTTACCGCACTGCCATTTGGTGTGCTTGATTGAAATCTGGTTTTGGAGGACTTATGCTTTGGCTGCTGTTACAGATAATTTATGGCAAAAATAGTTTAAAAATTGTGAGCAAAATGTCTATTGAGAGTACTGCTGTTTCGGGATCTCAAACATTATTTTCAGCATACAATCAATTCAGCAAAATTATATAACTATTGGTGAAAAAGGAATGCCATTTCGGTTTCCGAAAGCTGCTAAATTTTAAGTTTCTGCTTTTTCAGTTACTTTGCTACTGAACTGATTTAATTTCGTTCAGTGGCTTGAATATGTTAAGTAAAGTTAAATTAAGCCTTTCCTTTGCTTACCTGTCAGTATTTCTGGTCATTTATGCAAGTTGTACCTCGAAAATCTCTACCAGTATATTGTTCGATCTTATGCATGATCCTAGTCATGTGCTGTGGTAAACCATAAATTTAATGTGAAGTGTATATTCATCTGCTACTTGATATTTTTTGATGTAACGGTTCCGTGCTAGAGAATCAGAATGTTGGCGAGTTCCAGGGAAGCAAAATTCCTAGCTCCAGTCATTGCTTGTTCACTATGGTGCTAGAAGAAAAGTTGCAGAAAGCAGACTTCGTTCGGTAACCATTGAGCACGTTGAAGCGAGAGGTGTACACTGGCTTCTTTTATCAGCACAACGGTTATGTAATAATCGACAATGAAACGTTTCTATCCCGTTAGGAGGTCGGTTTCGATCGCTTACTTTTCCTTTGACTTCGTTAAAACCTGCTATGAAGCTTCATACGTGATTTTGATTTTTTGGTACGGTATTGCAGAACATGCACTAACACGGAATTGCCCAACATGGACAAAAATGTAAATATATGAAGCTCACAACATCTTATGCGTACGAACATTAATAGTTGCAATGCAACTATTCAGAATAATTTTATGGAGCTTAATTTCATTCATCGCAATCATGTAAGGAAAGTAATCTTATAGTAGCCATTAGAATGTCGGCTTTTCTTACAGGGACCATCTCTGGCGATCTTCTTTTCACAAAGCATGGTGAAGTTCTGTAATTATTGCCATGCTCTCGCTAGTCTTATTTGCATAGGAGAGTCGACATCAGTTGTGACAGGCATGGGTTGTAGTCGCCTGCTTTCTTTCCGCAGTGCTGTCCTGGTTTATTAGTCTGACAAGAAAGGCCAGTGACTCTGATCAGAGCTCAGGCCCAGAACTCCATTTTGAAATGACCCTCTTCTTATTAATGCAAGCAGATTATTAGAAATATCTGTTTATATTGTACTTAATTACACATTGTACAAATTACTAATTGGTTATCAGGTGTGTACGAAGGCGAATGTCATTTATGTACTTGTTACTTAGAAAGAAAACTATCACTGTCTGCTCTTGATACTGTTACTGATATTTCTTTTGAATGATTGAGTGGCTAATGGTCAGTCGTCAGTCATGTCGCACGGTTTTTCTGTATTCATTATCTTTGAAAACAATTTCATTTTCTATTAATTTTCTGTTTTAGGTAAATCCTGATGTAACCGCGGAAGAATGAAAAATTGGCCCCGTTTAAATGAAAGCGTCCAAGCTTGCTTAAAAGTTAAGCGTTTCTAATCTAATTTGCATTTAAATTTGTGTTAGATGATAAACGATGTCCACCGCCCAGGTATATAAATAGCATTTCTTTTGGAATTTGGGGCCATGTATGTCTTGCATTGGCTTTGCAGGTTGTCAACAGTTAAAAACATCAGTGTCAAAATTCGTATTATATGCGCACCACCATTTGATCGTTACTTTAAATGGAGGCGTTTCATTAACTTTATTTGTCTCCAAATATGTTTCTAAGCTGTAACAAACAACTGGGTTAATGGACTGTTTCCATCTAGTATTGGTATTCCATCTCTATTATTGGTATTCCATCGATATTCTTTTGTTTTGTTAATTATGCATCATAGAATAAAGTTTTAGCACATTGCTGGGACATTATTATGTGAATTTGTAGCTGTAAATGTCTTTCATATGACAGATAAACCAGAAACTTTACCTATTGCACTCCAGTAGTTGAACGCCAAAAGAAGTATATCAACTTCTGCATTAACAGTAAATTAATCCCTTCAAACATAGCTGCTGAAATGTTTCTAAATTTTTACTGAGTTAGTCAAAACAGTAATCCCTTGTCTTTACTTAGTCAGGAAGAAGACTAGCTTCTTGCTGTACAGCATCACAGCGACGTAAAATTGGTTTACCTGTGGAGCAATGGGACTTCAAATCTTTGGGGAAAATAATCTCTAACTATTCAAAGGTTAGTTTTGATTCAGTGAAAGATGCTTCCAATTCTTTTTAGCGCGCCATGTTTCTTGTCTTCAATTTCTGTAGCTTGGTGAACAGACTGAATTGTGGCTACAGTCTTTTGGTAATTGTAGCAAGTTCCATAAATTATTCTCATTTGTAACTTAATTAAGAGTGGTATTTTGTACACAAACGGAAGCGCATTAGTTAAATATGCAATGACGAAACTTTGTTGTGCAGAGTGATGCAGATAAGAAATCGAACATGGATATGACTTGATATGTAGCCAGAACAATGAGCAAAGCACCTAGTCATAAAAACAAGAATTAACAGAAGGTGAGCATGTAACTTCCTAGCTTATTTACTTTTCAGTTATGGAATTTTAGCCATCGCTCTTTTACGGAGCTTGTAGTTCGGCGCTAATTTTCATTTAGTCCTGCTTGTTTACCATGTAGTGGTAACTGCAGTTGCTGGTTATTTTTCATGTCGGCAACTATGAGAACAATTTCAATTTAAGTATTATTGTATTCGTGGTAACGTTTCAACATGCCACTTAGATGTTTGACAAGTATATTCCGTTGCAAATATCGTCGGTGCTTTCCGCCTGGTAGACAGCCTGTCCATCATGCTTTCGGAATTTAACGAAATGGAATGATTCTGGATATTTCTTTTTAGATAAGTCGCGATATCCTTTTTAATGTACTGGCTTAAAAGCGTGTTTGTTTAGACGTCTGAGTTTCGTTTCTGCCGCGTTGCCTAATTAACCGTTCGTCGCGTAGTTCGTCATCACGGTGTTTAAAAATTATTGCAACGGTTATGTACAATCACTCATTTATCACTCCAAGTTTTCGTTGTTGGCACATCCCATGATACTGAATTTACAGAATGCTTGTAGAAAAATAATTTCCACAGAAATGATCGTTTTCTGTTGGAATGGAGGGCATTTCGACTCATCTATTTTTATTTAATTAGATGCACTGTCGAATTTGCGATAATTACTGTTTCACAAAGACTCGCAACATAATTTGATGCTCAAAGTACCGTTAGTTGCGTTGCGTGGCTCAAAGTACCATTCATTTTACCCGGCTGCTGGCTTGCATAGTTTTATTATAAAAAAACCTGGTTCTGAGGAGAGGTCTTCGGCCAGTCGGTTAGAAGGTGTTTCACGCACTTGGCAACGACTGCTTCTTTTTACGCCTGTGATGTGCTCTTTCGAGCTCGAAATCGTAGAGTGCTTGTTTGGCTAGCAGTTTTTCGCGCTGTTTCTGAACGAACACTCGATGAGGCATTTCTGGAACGAAGTACTGGACCAGGAACTTGACAGCGAATACGACATGCTGAAATAGTTAAATCAATGAATTAATTCGTTAATTAATGGGGTCAAGTTAAAGTATAAAATCGTAGAATGCAGTAAATAATTAGGTTATTCCATAGTTCAGACTCTTCTATTGCAAAACTGAGTAAGAATTCGGAAACGCAGAAGTTTCGCCGAGAAAACTATTTTGCCAAAAGGAATGACACATGAATGCAGTGGTTTAAGGCTATCTGGTGATACAAGTACAGGAAGGTCAATGAGATACGAGTCGAAACTTTCCAGGTGATTTTCCTAATTAAGCAAAAATATGCCTTATGATAAAACGAAGCCAGGTTATGTACTGTCTAGTTAAAAAATAAGTTGGGTTAATGATAGCATATGCAAATTCAATAAAATTGACATTCGGAGTATAACATTTCCATTTACGCTGATGTTTTGGCTTCAAATACAGAAACAGTAAACAATGCAATAAGACTGAAAAAATAAGAAACAATTATAAAAAATGGTAAATATATAGTGATGTAACAAGCATAATAATATCTGTAATAACGCATCTAAGGTTAGTGTTATATGTATCTTTGCAGGCACTACGTATCGTTTTGTTGACGGCATCTATAAGGAACATCGCCCATAAGACTACAAGGTATTCAAGTGCACAGTGAACTAACTTGTGCATAATCTTACTAATGAAATATTGGGTTCACCAACTAGGTGAAATAAAAGACCCCCTGAGAGAATAATTCTCGGATAAGGCGAGGAACAACGTGCATCAGTACAATCAAACAGTTTCTGAAGTTGGTAACCACGATATGCAAAGGATGTGTGAAAAAAATTATTTTGTTAATACGATGGTATGATCGGAAAATCCGCTTAGCACTAACGTTTCGATGAACTGGACACCACAGTCTGGTCAACGTTGGCCCTGTAGCGTTGTTATTTTTATAGAGCCGTATTCCTTTCAGATCACTGGGCAGCATTTCCAAATCATTTTTTTTAACACAACAGGTTTTTGCAATCAGACAAAATTCACGTAATGAATTCCAAGGAAAAGATATTGGTAGAGATGTTTATCTTCATCCTCGTAATAATCCTTATGCTCATCATCTAATACCAGGTGTCGAACAATCTTACCCTCAGTTTGTCTCTGACTGATCCTGTTGAAAAGCAAGTCGGTCTTTTGAGTATTTCCTCCAGCTCTCTGATTCTATTTACAAAGCACCGCAGGCGTTAACTGTTGATCTCCCGAAATATAAACTCACAAGAGAGTTGATTTCTCAGTGAAGCATAATAAACTTTTACTGACTCTTGTCGGTTCAGCAGTCGTTGAAATGAATCTCATTTCCATCAACTCCGGATCGACTTCTTGTGCTAGTGGTCGACGAGCAGACAAATTTAGATACCCTTCAGACCTTTCTAACATCTTCACAAAACAGCTCTGAAGCAAAATATTTTTATGCTGCTATGTATGTAACTATATATAACAGTATATGTAACATGTATTCAATATATAACAAAATCAATTTCAATTAGATGCTACGCGAAGGGAGAACAATTCTAACAGTAAAAGTATAGGAAATTCGGCAAAGCCACATGGTAGTCCTGAAGCTGGGATACAGTTCAGATACAATGAATACCCTGCACTATAGTGATTAAAAGAAATCTAGCCCATGGAACATCTGATGAGAAATTCAAAACGATTTGAAAAACTTTTTGAAACTGCCGTCAAGTCTAAGTTAATTCGAATTAGCACACCGAAATTATTCCACAGCTAAAGTTTGCCTTATTACTACCTTCTGACCCAGTCGTCCAAGAAAAATGACTGAACGATAAAAATAAAATCCGAAGAATTAAGAATAACAAACTACAACCGGTGTTACCTCGAAGACAATTATGAAAGTGAGTCTAGCCGCAAGCACGTGCCACCATCTCAAACTGATGCCATATTCGTCATCGCACCCTCCATTGATAGTCGTCAAATTCAATGAGCACGGGGGATTTCTGTAATCTGGATACCTTAAAGCAGCAGAAAATTAAAAGAAAAATCAACACATTTAAGTGTACACAGCAAATGCTGCACACGCGGTACCAGGCTTCAAGTTTCCTACTCAATCTTAGCTGCAAACCAAATAATTTACGAACTACTTAGCAGAAAACGAGTCTGCATATCGATGAGAAACGAGTAAAAACTATTATTTGTCCGTCACTTTTTCAAACGATCATATCGCATAAGATACCTCAAAACTTGGACAGATCTAAATGTTACTAACGATAAACAAGGTCACTAAATTTTGCAGGAACGAACAAAGATTTCATTATACGTTGTATTCGTATTGTACGAATACAAGTATACGACGTATGACTGACACGTCAGTCTCCGACCAGGAAATAGTTTCTACGCAATGCAGATACTTTAACCATAACCATGAAAAGATAAATCTAATTTATAAGTAGTTCATTTCTTCTTCCCTTTCTTGCAACTTTCTACTTGTTTTTCTTGCTCATAAATAATATACGATGACAGTTATTTTTGGGCAGATTTCTATGACTGACGTTACTTATCTCTACGCTTTTTCATATAACCCTGGTCAGATAAAAGTAACTGGTCTTTAATCTTAATTAGAATGATCGGTTAAGATTTCGAACTAAATTCTCTTCAGAGAGTTATGAACTGTTCGAACAGTTCGAAATGAATTTTCTTCAGTCGGCAAGAGAGTTATAACAGAAGATGCAAGAACACAAGACGAACAACAAATATACAACAATAACAAGGCCTAAAGCAAAGGTCTTAGAGGTTGCCGGCACCATTTAAGCAAGAAGCGATAAAACTATATACATATAATAATGGATAGTTTGGACGCAATAACTAAAGCAATATATACTAATTAACCTTAATTACTTAATGCACAGTGACATAAATATAACTATAAAACAAAATGAATTACAATAAATTTCTTAAATAGTAACCTGAGTTACTTGCTAAATATTTTAATAAAAGCAATGTATTTCGATGCATATCTAATAATAGGAATTCAAATAAACACAGTTGGCATTTTAAGATAAATATTGATTAATTATTCAGCATAGACAACATTTAGCAGCGAAATATTAAACAGCTACATTATACACCAATAAACGTAAGAGTAACGGTGCCAGTGTCAATTCAGTCAAGAAACGTTTGATTGGGGTTACAAAGTCGGTAGGGTGTCTGACTCATCCGTTAAGTACCGCACTAAAGCCCCGGCCATGTCTTGCCTTTCTTCCTTTCGAGGTTGATAAATATAAATGCGAAGGAAGCAAGAGGACTCAGATTATGCTTGAAAGATAGCTGCAACCGATCCTGTCCTTAAAAATAAGGCATTTTCCTGGTGGAAATACAGATCACCGTCCGTGTATCAACATTATGAAAAGGACGACGGATATGGCGTCGTCACGAAAGTGTAAAGACCGACCTTTCAGCGATTACAAACTTTCACATTTCTGTTTTTCATAAAAAGAATTATGTCAATATTAAACATGACGAATGCAATGACTTTAGGGGTAAACATCGGCCGCGGAGGCATAACTTAATTTAATATCATATTAGACCAAACACGAGTACAGAAAAGTTCAAGTAACATTCGTTAGTAAACTAGTGATTTCAGGCCTTTCAATAATTTTATGATTTTTGTGAAAAAAAGAGAACACCGCCATTGCCGGCCCCAAGCCCGGATGAGAAAGGAGGAGGGTTGGACACTGTGGCAAGTCTCCGTAAAATTCAGCCACCTGCC